AAGGTAACGCCACTGTCAAACATCTGGTCATTAATCCAAAGCACCGGCCCTGCAACCTGATTGGTTCTCTTCCTTCTCTCCTTTGTCTCTACCCCCTTCCCCAAGAGGTGTCACTCCCTGCTGGCCATTGGGGTTACAATTGCCTGTTACTCCCTTCATGCCCCATTCAGAGTTTAAGCTTTTGAAATATCTCCTGGGGACCAAGCGACCACATGAGCCTCTGCCTCGTTTTCAGGTATTTAAGGACAGCCTTTTGCCTTTGCTCTCTCTCTGGCTTCTGTCTCTTCCTTTCCTGACCCTACCCTGCCTTGTTGGTTCCAAATCTAGGCCTGTTTGGAATCGGTCCATGTGTGTTGCTGGTCAACTGACAATCCCTTTCACAGGAAAATCTACAAAATAACAAAGACTAGAGACTACATCTTTAGAGCTAGAAATAGACTGACCACACGGTCACACAACAAAAACAACAACAACAACAATGGAGATTCTTCTTCTTGATCCCTAGAAGGAAATCACCTGAATACATTAACCGATCAATGTTACTAAACAGACTTCAGTTTCTTGGGCTTTGTTTCCACTGGCTCTGTGCCAGGTTTCCTTCCAGGTCAGGCTAAACATTAGGGCACAAGGTAAATAGATTAACCCTATAATGACTGAGGCCGATTTCCCACAAGTGCTGCTCCATGCTTGCTCTTCCCTTTAGCCCCATGGTACGTGTCAATTTCACACAATCTGCTGTGCAGCTGTATTTTGCCCTGGAGCTTCGCATGATTTTCCCCGCATCTACTCAATCCTCAAAAAACAGGATTGAGTAGATGTGGGGAAAATCACGCGAAGCTGCAGGGGCAAAATGCTGCCATGCAGCAGCTTGTGTGAAATTGACACGTATCATCCGGGCTAAACGGAAGAGTGAGCGTGGAGCAGCGCTTGTGGGAAATCGGTCTGAATCTCATATATTTCCAGCATTTCCTTCAATTACGAAGGTAGGCAACAAGCCATAGTCGTTGGATAACACACTCGTTCAGTTTTTACGTCAGTTGGCAGGAGTCCCTAGATGCGTTGCAGGAACTTCAGCTGCACTTTGATTGGAACTGCCTTCTATGCTTGTTGAAGGAGGGTATCCATTGACGTATGTGGGAAAGATGTATATAACGATGCAGATTTTATGATTTTTACTATATTTGATGTTTATTGGATCTGTTCTGCTTCTCCTATGTAATATCAATTGATGCTAAAAAATTTATTTCTGTTCTGCATAAGCTTAAGGCCTGTGGTCAAATGAGTGAAATAAAAGTAAGAAAGAAAGGCCCAGTTCTTTACAATGGTCCGAGTTTATACTTCTTGGAGAGCTGCAGTATATTATACCACTCAGAGGCTGAAAAATAAACTAATGCAATTTTCATAAGAACATAAGAGATGCCAATGTTGGATCAGGCCAAAGGCCCATCCAGTCCAACACTCTGTCACACAGTGGCCAAAAATACCAGGTGCCATCAGGAGGTCCACCAGTGGGGCCAAGACATTAGAAGCCTTCCCACTGTTGACCCCCCCCCCAAGCACCAAGAAGACAGAGCATCACTTGCCCCAAAGTCCCTATCTATACCTTGTGGCTAGTAGCCACCGATGGACCTCTGCTTCCTATGCTTATCTAATTCCCTCTTGAAGCCGTCCATGCTTGTAGCCACCACCACTTCCTGTGGCAGTGAATTCCATGTGTTAATCACTCCTTGTCATCAGTTTGACCTATATCATTCTTTAATCAGTTGACAGGCCCATGGGATCCTTCTTTCTTTCTTGAATGGTTGGGGACAGGAAGAGACAATAAAGTGGTCCATATTTTCCTCTTTCAGAGATCCCCAGTGTCCTTTGAGGAGGTAGCCGTGTTCCTCACAGTGGAGGAATGGGCTGTCCTGGATGCGGGCCAGAGAAAACTTTACTGGGATGTTAAAGAGGGAAATTAGGAGATTGTGGCCTCTCTGGGTAAAGATCTTTTCCCTTCTGTAATGATCATGGAAGAGAAGGTGGTGTCTTCTATTGACCCTCTTTGATTTCAGGGTGCACCTTCATTTACTACATAGGAATGAATGGAGTTCCCACATTTAGGAACCTCAAAGCTCCTAGAAAGAAAGCAGAAAGTACTTTTATGGTATAAAGGGAAACCTATTGATGAAGAGGGCTGTGTTTGGGAGAGAAGGACAATATCCAGTAAGGTTCCTGCTAGGAAATCCCCGCAGCTCATTTTTTCTTCTTCTTTGGCCTCTCTAATTTGACATGCTGTCTTTTGACTGAGTAAGTGAGGCTGAGGGGAGGAGAGGAGGAAAGGTATCATTGATTTGACTTGCCCAGAAGAGGGGCTATTGCTCAGTAGTGGAGTTTATGAGTCCTCGGCCCTTGACCCAAAGGGGTTTAGTGAGGTGAATCTTCAGTTTTAGGGCTGGGAAAGGCCCCTGCCTGAGGCCCTCTTGAGTCATGACCCCTTGGGGTGGAATCAGCTGGGTGTCATGGGAAGTTCTAGGCATAATCTTGGTTGAGGAGAACGTGAGAGTCAACTGTGAGGAAGGTGGAAGGCTGGGGAAGAGAAGCCAGCTGTAGCCAGCTTCCACGTGACAAGTGGGGATTCAGGAGGCAGAAGCGCTTTTCCTCATAACGTTCTGCCCTTTCTTGACCAGTTCAGAGCAGGTCGCAGTGGGAACCAAGTCAGGCATGGACCATGTCCACATCCTCTTTACCACATCGTCTTTATCCTGAGATAATCTGAGAAAATTAATGAAAACAAGACAGAAGAGGAGACATGCTGGATCAGCTCATCTAGTCCAGCATCCTGTTTCATAGAGTGTCCAACCAGCTCCCCTGGAGAGCTGAAGAAAGAGGACATGGAGGCCAAACCCTTTCCCTGGTGCTGCCTCCTGGTGCTGATATTACGGGGTTTGCTGCTTCTGAACATGGTGTTTCCATTCAGTCACCATGACTAGTAGCCATTTGGATATTTTCTCCAGGTCTGAAAGGCTCTCTCTGCTCACCAGCTTCGTAGTTCGCTGTACTCATCTATTTCCTGGTGATTTCTCCTTGTTAGACACAGCTAGCCATTGTTTCCATTGCAAAAAGCAGAGGTATTTGGTACTTCTCTGCCCTGTATTCCTCCCTGACAGGGACCCAAAGCAGTTGACCTCACTCTTTCTCCTCCATTTTATGCCCACAGCAACCCTGTGAGGTCAGTCTGGCTGAGACAGTGTGACTGGCCCAAGGTCACCCAGGAAGCATTCATAGGAAAGTCCTGGGCATTCAAAGTTGCATCTGTGAGATCATAAGAACATAAGAGAAGTCAATGTTGGATCAGGCCAATGGCCCAACCAGTCCAGCACTCTGTCACACAGTGGCCAAAAATACCAGGTACCATCAGGAGGTCCACCAGTGGGGCCAGGACACTAGAAGCCCTCCCCCTGTTGCCACCCCCCCCCAATCACCAAGAAAACAGAGCATCACTTGCCCCAGAGTCCTTATCTATACCTTGTGGCTAATAGCCACCGATGGACCTCTGCTCCATATGCTTATCTAATTCCCTCTTGAAGCTGTCCATGCTTGCAGACGCCACCTGGTCAGACATGCTAATCATTACACCAGACTCAATCTGATAGCGCAGGGAAAGTGCTGAATCCCTTTTGTTTTGTTCAGGATGGGATATTTTCCACCCTTCTTGTTTGTGATGCATCCTGGCTTCTTATGACTAAATCTTTGCTTCCATTTCAAAACCCTAGGGATAATCTGGCCAATGATGTTGCGATTCCCTTCGGTTTTGATGCTGCTGCTCCCGTGATGATCCTAAAGCTGGTGGCCCGTTTCCCAAAGCCTACCCTTGATTCCTGAGGAAGTATGCCTGCCACAAAAAGATGGACAGACAGACGCATCCCTTCCTTAGTGTGGACTAGACACCACTCGCTCACTCCCCTCACTGACCCCATCGCTTGCTGCTCTCCTGGTATTCTTTCATAAGCGAAAGACCCCTGCTTTCTCCGCGGGTTAATACCTTATGTTCTGTTTAGCTATATTTTTCTCCTAAAATGGTAGATACATTCAGTACAATTCTTTCCTGGAGACCTTCTTTTGCTGCTTCCTCTGGAGTATGAGTCCAATGTATGTAAAATGATTGAGTGCACTGGTCGTTGACTGTAACAATACATTTGATTTGAGTCCAATGCCAGTCACACTAAAGTAGGTCTCTGTGTTGACGAGAGTCTTCTGGCCCAGCTGACCTCCAGGAACCCCCCCACCCCCCTTCCCGTTTCTGGTTTTTATCTATGGGAGCTCACCCCTTCGCGCTCTGCTTGCCAGCCTGATAGCTTGCGGCGATTCCAGTCTTATATTACTACACCTCTCCCTGCATGCGATAGTTAATGTCAGTTTCAATACTGAGTGAGCCATGCTGCCCAGGGTTGCCATCTTCCAGGTGGCGCCTAGAGCGGCCTCTGAATTACAACCGATCTCCAGACTGCCAAGATCAGCTCCCCAGGAGAAAATGGCCCCTCTTGAGGGTGACTCTACAGCACGACACCCTGCTGAGGCCCCCCCTCCCTGTACCCTTCCCTCCCCAGGGGCCACCACCAAATCTCCAGGAATGTCCCAGGCCAATATTTAAAGACTAGCTCTGACTCCCGAGAAAAGATTTGCTGCAATGTGGGACGAAGCAACAGCCTCAGAGATCATCCTTTCCTGGGAAATGGTAGTCAAAGTTAGATGTATAACAAATATCACACTCCCCTTTCTTCACTGTGAGGCTTGTATGATTTTCTCCATTTTATCCTCACAACAACCCTGTGGGATAGGTTGAGCTGAGAATGTGTACTTGGCTCACAGCCAGCCAGCAACTTTTAGTGCAAAAGTGGGGGATCTAAACCTGGAACTCCTACATCCAAGTCAGGCACTCTGCCCACTAAATCTAACTGCCTCTGATAGCGAAGGGGCTGTTGTTCACAGAGCACTTTCCACACTCCAAGCATTTATACGGCTTCTCTCCGGTATGAATCCTTTGATGTGCAGTTAGGCTCCAGTTCCGAGAGAAGCACTTTCCACACTCCAAGCATTTATACGGCTTCTCTCCGGTATGAATCCTTTGATGTGCAGTTAGGCTCCAGTTCCGAGAGAAGCACTTTCCACACTCCAAGCATTTATACGGCTTCTCTCCGGTATGAATCCTTTGATGTGCAGTTAGGCTCCAGTTCCGAGAGAAGCACTTTCCACACTTCAAGGAAAAGCAAAGCAAAAGAAAGAACTGGTTGCCCGTGAGGGCAGAAATAAGCCTGAGGTCTCAGCCCAAGATGAACCAGGGAGGAGAAGGAGACGGCCTAATGGTGCCTTGAGTCAGAAAGGGTGCAGCTGCAAATTCATTAACAAAACATATGAGAATGTTACAAAATGCTGGACCTCTGTACTGGACCTCTCTCAAGAGGCTGAAGAGTTGTCCCTCAGTGGAGCCCCGGCCGGGCACATACTAGCTTCTGCCCCTTGCTGTCTACGGACTGAACACTGGCCTCGAGAATGACTGGAGGCTGAAGAGTTTTGACCATAAATCTTCTGAGCACTCCTATTGCTTCACCTTCTGACCTGCTGGAGTTGTTCATGGGTCACTCTGACTCATGTTCTCTTGCTGTGGCTCCTGGACGGATACTCAAGGGCTAGAATTTTTCTTTTCTAGGCACGCCCACCTGCCTGTATGCCTGATTCTCGATCCATGGTCACCTCCATCTCTGCAGCACTGCTCGAGGCACCCGATAACTCTGTTGCCGCCGTCCAGCCTGACTTCTCCATCCTGACTCCTGTCCATGGCAGCTAGCATAGAACAGGGCAGAGCTGCTGTCAAGGCTGACCCTGCCTCAGTGAAGAAATGTAACTAAGGTGTACTAAGTTCCCAAGTAACACACACAATAAAGAAAAAAGACTTTACTGAAGAAATTCAGCAAAAGGTATAAAAGGGCATATTAATCAGTGACCGTAAAATGGACAAAAACAACAAAGATAAAAGTATGGGAGTCCTAATACAGTGCGGCAGGTTCTTGAAGCAAAGATTCCTGGAGCAAAATACAAGTGTCTTCTTGGCAGCAACGAGGCATGGGGAGAAATAGTAAAGGAAAAGGGTAACTCTTCTTCTCACTAACCTTACTTACTGAAAACTGCAGGCCACAACCTCGTGAGCTCCTCCACCAATCCTTGGGTGGCATTCATGGAACTTCCCAGGGGGAAGGCAAGTTCCCCCTCCCCTACCAGATTCACAGCTGAGCTATGTCAGCTAATGAGAAGGCCTGACTGGATGTCCTTTACGAGCATCCACCACGGTGTGGCCAACACTTGCAGAAAGATACCAGCTCAGAAGAGGACACAGATATCACTACTGAGAAGTCAGAGAAATCCTTTTCTCGACAAATCAAAACTCTTGCAAAAGAGCTAAAACAAGAGGACAGAGATTTACTGACTCAGTTGCATCAAGATATATTCAGGTGGGGCAGCCCTGTTGGTCTGAAGCAGCAGAACGAAGTCTGAGTCCAGTGGCACCTTTAAGACCAACAAAGTTTTATTCGTGGTGTGAGCTTTCGTGTGCAAGGCACACTTGGTTAAATATCCGACAAAGTGTGCTTGCACATGAAAGCTTATATCGTGAATAAAACGTTATTGGTCTTAAAGGTGCCACTGGATTCAGACTCTTATTTCTGCTGCCATCTTTCTCCTGCGTTGAAATACTTTATACAGCCTTTCCATATGTGCACATAATCAAAACCATATACTCTTAAAAATATAAATATGTTACTGTATAAATTGGTGATTTTTAAAAACTATCTTAGATTTAATGTTCTATAAGCAATCACTACAAATTATTATTAACAGGGCTGTTTTTGGGCAGGAACGCACAGGAACGGAGTTCCGGCTGGCTCCCAAGTTGGCCACGCTCGGAACTCATTAGCATAATAGGCCACACCCAACAGCAGGAACTCATTACGATTGGCTACATTAAGGGTGTGTGGTCTAACATGCAAAGGAGTTCCTGCTACAAAAAAGGCCCTGGGTTTTGACAACAAAGGTAAACAGAACAACAAGCAAAAGGTGGGCATGGCTGGATAACCACACCTCTGGTCACATGGGGGTGCAGCCTAATGTGCTAATGGGCTGTGCTGTCAGGGGTGTGGCCCAATATGCTAATGAGTTTTGCTGTTGGGTGTGGCCTATTATGCTAATGAGTTCCTGCTGGACTTTTTCTACAAAAAGAGCCGATTATTATTATTTACCACAAATGAAAAAAGCTCACATTCAGTATTACTGTGTCTTATTATTATACCATCAAGTCCCCAAGATATGTCTACTTAGAAAGTTACGTATATAACAAGAAGAGACAAAAGCAAATATCTTACATATCATGGTCCATAGAAAAGATTTTCAGAATATATTAACCAGAAAAAGTCATAGGTGACAGCAAAGCATTACTTTTGGCAGTCATTTAGCTTCCTCAGAGGTGTTTTCTCTGCATATCTGGAAATGTACAATGCAGAAAAAACTTTTATGCTAGATTTATTCTTACTTAGTCACTATAGTGGTAGAAGAAAAACAATTCCAAGGAAATCTTTAAATCTTATTTAGTCAGTTGTTTTTAGTTAGTTTTGGGTTCTTCATAGATCAGCACATGTTTGTATTCCAGCTCAGTCTAGTGCATTCTTTATTTTGTCATCCACAAAAATAAATTTGCAATCCAGTTTTAAATAATATAACGCTATTATAATCCAGTTTCAGGTAATACTAATCATCCAATATATTTATAATCCACTGAGATGTGTTGGATGAAAGGGAAAAAAGGCTGGCGTCTTTTTATTTTGAAAAAATATAGCCTCCAATTCTCAAACAAAAGAAGAGCTAACCAAGGCCAGCACCGATTAGCAGTTTGGCAGTCTGCCTTGCTATTTTCTCTCTCTATTTTAAGTTCTTTTTCTCCAGAGTTCCTAATTAGCAATTAGTCATTGAGTGGAAAAAAGAAAATGGCTGCTTATCTGAGTCTATTTCACTGTCTGAATAACATACAAATCACCACATAATTCTTTATAGTGGAAAATACATAGTTACAAGTTCCAGAAGACTCAGATCATTATATTATGACCTTGCCAATCTGCTGGTAGCAAAAATATTATATATCACATGGACGTGTTCTTAAAAAACAGAAGAGAGACCAAGGAAGAGAGACAGGCGGCATTCACACTCCCCCCCCATTAGTTCTATGCTGCCATTGGAAAGAGAGAATAAAAGTACACACAGTTGTTTATATCTAATGTTCTTTGTTAAAAGTTTCGACCTGTGTAACTAGAGTTCTGTTGACAATATAAGACAATACAGATAATGATATCAGGTAAACCTACCCAGCGTTTTGCTGGCCATTCTCGACAGCTGCCTTGATGGTTGGCCATGATAAAAGGAGTAAGACAACTAATTAATCTGCCAATATACCCTCAGAGATCATTGGAGCGTTCCTTAACGTTGCCGGCCCAGGAGTGGGTGGGGTTGGGAGGGAAAATGGGCCCTGCGGCCGGAGGCCTCTACTGGAGTGCAGGGGTGGGTGGGAGGGGAACGGACCTTCAGAAGTGGCGGCCTTTGGCGTCGGTAGTCCTCGTCGTCTGAAAGGAACAATCAAAATGGCGCCTGCTGACTCTCGCAGCA